ACTATCCTCCTGGCCATAGAGCATCATCCAGCGAGAAATCTGTGCACAAAACTTCACAAATCACTATTGACACTTTTGATTAATCACAGCACCTTCTCTGTACATTGCATGAATCTTTACTGCTGTTTCAGTTGCATTTTTACCTTTCTTAAATAATATTATAATATTCTGAAAATGTTGCTTTTCCTCTTCTATCTTCAATATTAAATGGTTACACAAAAATTCACACAATTTAAATGTTTTTAAATGCATGCTAATATGAGAACTGTCACAATACAATGTAACAAAATTGTTTAGAAAAAAGTTAAAGACAACTAAGCACTATTAAAGCCATTTTTCAGGAAAGAAAAAAACAAACGAACAGTTTCACCAACCCAACATAATACTGAATTCATCTCTTTTTCCTTGCAGTTCCATCAGTTTGTCTGCAATGTATTTTAAAGCTCTGTTGTTAGGGGAATACATATTATAGAAATGCTATGTCGTCTTTGAGAACTGACCCTTTATCATTATGTACTGCTCTTTTAAAGTTTATGATGATTTTCCTTGCTCTGATATCAGCACTTATTACAGCTACTTCACTTTTCTTTTGATTGGTATTATCATGGTGTATTCCTCCATCCTTTAATTTCAACATATGTGTGTCTTCATATTTAAAGTGGGCCTGTTCTAGACACCATATAGTTGGGTCTTTTATGTGTGTGTGTGTTTGTGTGATCAAAAGCAAATAACAAGAGATATACTTGCTTTATAAAACTTAAGTGTACAGTACAATATTGTGAACTCTAAGCACACTGTTGTAAACAAGATCTCTAGAAACTGTCCATTATATATTGCTGAAACTCACTACCCATGGAACAGAATTTTTTTCATTTTCTCCTTCCCCTAGTCCATGACAACCTCTAGTGTGGAATTTGGAATATTTGTGTACCACTGGTGAGAATGTAAAATGGTACAGCCACTACAGAAAACAGTATGGAGGTTCTTCAAACAATTGAAAATAGAACTACCCTATGATCTAGTAATCCCACTACTGGGCATTTATCCGAAAGAATAGAAATCAGAATCTTGAAGAGAGATTTTCATTTCATATTCACTACAGCACTATTCATAACAGCCAAGAGGTGGAAGCAAGTTAAATGTCCATTAATAAATGAACAGAATGTGGACTACATATACAAGGAAATATTCATCTATAAAGAAGAAGGAAATTCTATGAAATTTTAGAAACAGATGAACCTTGAGGACTTTATGCTAAGTGAAATAAGCCAGCCATAGAAGGACAAATATTACGTGTTCCACTTCTCTAAAGCATCTAAAATATACAGCTCATCAAAGAAATTATGAGGCCTCCAAAATTGTTTTGGCTACTCAGGGTTCTTTGTGATGTCACATGGATTTTAGGAATACATTTTCAATTTCTGTAAGAAATGTCTTTGGGATTTTGATAGGAATTGCTTGGGCTAAGGTGAACAGTTAAGTAATACTAAGTTTTCCAGTTCATGAACATGAAATATAGTTCCATTTATCTGTGTCTTCTTTAATTTTGCTCAGCAGCACTTTACAGTATTCAATGTATACATCCTTTGCCTTCTTGGTTAAGTTTATTTCTGAGTATCTTGTTCTTTTTTATGCTGAGCTAGAACTAACTCTCTGTGCAAAGGACATTATCTTAATGTGTTCAGTTCAGTTGCTCAGTCGTGTCCAACTCTTTGCGACCCCACAGACTGCAGCACACCAGGCCTCCCTGTCTATCACAAACTCCCAGAGTTTACCCAAACTCATATTCATTGAGTTGGTGATGCCATCCAACCATCTCATCCTCTGTTGTTCCCTTCTCCTCCTGCCTTCAATCTTTCCCAGCATCAGGGTCTTTTCAAATGACTTAGCTCTTTGTGTCAGGTGGCCAAAGTATTGGAGTTTCAGCTTCAACATCAGTCCTTCCAATGAATACCCAGGACTGATCTCCTTTAGAATGGACTGGTTGGATCTCCTTGCAGTCCAAGGGACTCTCAAGAGTCCTCTCCAACACCACAATTCAAAAGCATCAATTCTTTGGCGCTCAACTTTCTTTATAATCCAACTTTCACATCCATACGTGACTACTGGAAAAACCATAGCCTTGACTAGATGGACCTTTGTTGGAAAAGTAATGTCTCTACTTTTTAAATATGCTGTCTAGGTTGGTCATAACTTTCCTTCCAAGTACTAAGTGTCTTTTAACTTTATGGCTGCAGTCACCATCTGCAGTGATTTTGGAACCCCCCCAAAATAAAGTCTGTCACTGTTTCCACTGTTTCCCCATCTATTTGTCATGAAGGGATGGGACCAAATGCCATGATCTTAGTTTTCTGAATGTTGAGCTTTAAGCCAACTTTTCACTCTCCTCTTTCACTTTCATCAAGAGACTCTTTAGTTCTTCTTCACTTTCTGCCATAATGGTGGTGTCATCTGAATATCTGACGTTATTGATATTTCTCCTGACAATCTTGATTCCAGCTTATGCTTTTTCCAGCCCAGCATTTCTCATAATGTACTCTGAATTTAAGTTTAATAAGCAGGGTGACAACATACAGCCTTGACTTACCTTTTCCTATTTGGAACTGGTCTGTTGTTCCATGTGCAGTTCTAACTGTTGCTTTCTGAGCTGCATACAGATTTCTCAAGAGGCAGGTCAGGTGGTCTGGTATTCCCATCTCTTTCAGAATTTTCCACAGTTTATTGTGATCCACACAGTCAAAGTCTTTGGCATAGTCAATAAAGCAGAAATAGATGTTTTTCTGGAACTCTTGCTTTTTTGATGATCAAGTGTATGTTGGCAATTTGATCTCTAGTTCCTCTGCCTTTTCTAAAACCAGCTTGAACATCTGGAAGTTCATGATTCACATATTGCTGAAGCCTAGCTTGGAGAATTTTGAGCATTTCTTTACTAGCATGTGAGATGAGTGCAATTGTGTGGTAGTTTGAGCATTCTTTGGCATTGCCTTTCTTTGGGATTGGAATGAAAACTGACCTTTTCCAGTCCTCTGACCACTGCTGAGTCTTCCAAATTTCCTGGCATATTAAGTGTAGAAAACCCTAAAGATGCCACACACACACACACACACACACACACACACACACACACACACACGTTAGTAATAATAAGTGAACTCTGAAAAGTTGCAGGATACATAATCAACCTACAAAACTCATTTGTGTTTCTGTACATTGACAACAGCCATCTGAAATGAGTCTTGGTGTTTTTATGGACTCTGCCAGTTAAATTAGTGTGTTTAGAATATTAATGTTTAATGTTGTTATTGATACAGACTATTATCTACTATAGTCATTATTGTTTTCTATTCAATTTTTCTTTTTTTTTTGGTCTTTCACTCTTTTTCTCTCTCTCCTGGTTCTGAGTATTTTGTATAATTCCATTTTCTCTTCCGTCTTAGCATGTGAATTATATTTCTTTTTTAAACCTTCAGTGGTTGCCTTACAGCATACACTTCCAACTGGTTCAAATACCTATCTTCAACTAGCACTACACTGTTTGATTGGTAGTACAAGTACCTTATAACAGAATTTTCCTAATTACTCCCTCTGTCCTTTCCAATACTGCATCATTCATATCACATATCTAAGCTAGAATCATTAAATACATTAGTGCTATTTTTATTTTGAATAAACTCATCCAACAGATCAATTTAGAAAAAGAAAATAAGAGACTTAATACATCTTAATTTGTTTTTTCTCTAATAGTCTTCCTTTATTTAGATCTGGGTGTCTGACCTAAATATCTTTCCTTCTTCCTGAAGAACTTAGTTTAACATTTCTTCTAAGACAGGTCTTCTGTTGTTCAGTTGATAAGTCATGTCCAACTCTTTGTGACCCCATGCAGCGCAGCATCCTAGGCTTCTCTGTCCTTCACTATCTCCTGGAAATTTCCTCAAACTCATGTCCATTGAGATGGTGATGCCGTCCACCCATCTCATCCTGTCACCCCTCTTCTCCTCCTGCCTTCAATCTTTCCCACCATGAGGGTCTTTTCCAATGGGTTGGCTCTTAGCCTCAGGTGGCCAGAGCACAAGAGCTTCAGCATCAGTCCTTCCAATGAATATTCAAGGTTGATTTCCCTTAGGTTTGACTGGTTTGATCTCCTTGCTGCCAAGAGTCTCAAGAGTCTCAAGACTTCGAGAATCTTCTTCAGCACTACAGTTCGAAAGGGTCTACTAGCAACAAATTTTCTGAAATTTTGTTTGAAAAGGAAAACTTAACTGCTACATGGAACAAATAAAGGCATCTACATAATTTTGTCACTGAAGCAATCTTTGTAAACAGGAGTGTTCAGTGCCTTGTTCCAGAGTAGCTCACAACAAACGTCAGGTGCTGTTGTTTCTCCCAAAGTTCAAGAGGCTGGGCTCCAATCTTTTGGTGAGAAGGTGACTGAAAAACACAAAGCTCAAGTATCTGTGGAGCTCTCTGAAATGCAATGAAACCAAAAACCTTAGGGCATCCTTGGTCTCAGAGAATGCAACAAAACAACAACAAAATACTCCAAGCCTGGCCTTTACCAAGACCCAGCTCCAGTGTTCTTGCCTGGAGAGTCCCATGGACGGCGGAGCCTGGTGGGCTGCCGTCTGTGGGGTCGCACAGAGTCGGACACGACTGAAGTGACTTAGTTTAGCTTAGCTTAAGTGTGTGTTCTTTCCAGAATCCAATGGCGACAGCTGGTGGGCAGGAGGAAGGCCGGATTTCAGACGCAAGGAGCGACGCGGCGGAGATTTCGGGGGCGGGGGGGGGGGGGGGGGCGGGCGAGGTGCGCAAGAGGTGGGGCCTGGGGGAGGTGGGGCAGGAAAACACCGAAGAGAAAGAAAAAGACAGGCGCACAGAGGGACGGGCGAGGCGGGGCCTGGGAAGCCGGCCAGCGGGGAAGGAGGGCGGTGCTGGCAGCGTGGCTGCAGAGCCCCGCAGGGACCTGGGCCGACTCGGACCGCGGAAGGGGGACCAGCGCAGCCATGTTGGAGGCGTTGGGCTCCCTGGCGGCTGCCCTCTGGGCCGCGCTCCGTCCTGGCACTGTCTTGCTGGGGGCCGTCGTCTTTCTCCTCTTAGCTGATTTTCTCAAAAGGCGGCGACCAAAGAACTACCCGCCGGGGCCCCCGCGCCTGCCCTTCATAGGCAACTTCTTCCAACTGGACTTTGACAAGGCGCACCTGTCGCTTCAGCGGGTAGGAGCGGGCGACGGTGCCCGCGCGCGTCCTGACCCTGACCTGCGGAACAGGGGCCATTCCGGGTACCGAGGGCGGGAGGACTGCGAGGGGGGACCCCCTGGAGGCTTCCCTGGTGCCTCGGACGGTAAACAATCTGCCTGCAGTGCAGGAGCCCCAGGTTTGATCCCTGGGTGTGGAAAATCCCCTGGAAAAGGAAGTGGCAACCCACTCCAGTATTCTTGTCTGGAGAAGCCCATGAACAGAGGAGCCTGGCGGGCTATAGTCCATGGGGTCGCAAGGAGTTGGACACGACTGAGCGACTAACAGTTTCACTTTTCTGAGGCTAAAGCAGGCACCCTGGTAGACCCACTTGGAGCCTCTCTCTTGACCGTAGCAAGTGGCATGATTCACCGTGCTTTCTAGGTGTGAAATATTGTTAATTGTTCACTGTTGAGTGTGCTGGACAAGATACACTTTGGGGCTGGGGTGCAAGTTTATTGTACAAAACAGAAAATGCATCTCGATCCATCTAGCTGTTGGGGAAAGTTTAACTATTGAACGGTAGTTTCTCAGGTGGTTCAGTGGTAAGAATCAGCCTGCCAAGCAGGAGATGCCAGTCTGATCCCTGGGTCTGGACGATCCCCTGGAGAAGGAATGATAACCCACTTCAGTTTTCTTGCCTGGGACACCCCAAGGACAGAGGATCCTGGAGGGCTATAGTCCATGGGGCTGCAAAGTGTCCAACACCATTTAGGGATTCTGTAACAACAAGCACTCATCTGAAGCCTTCACATGCTGCCAGGAGCTTAGTCATCTGCATATTTTCTCTTCTCTCAGGGATCCTCGGATGGAGTATGGTTCAGAACCCGCTCTGCATGCTTAGTAAACGTTTTTGACTGACCAGGTGGCCCTCTGTCTCTTCTGTTTCTTTCACTGGAGCCTTGAGGGTGACAGACACAATACGGTTTTAAGTCATTTAGTTGCATCTTGTTACATATTACCTGGACATTCTTTTTATAGTATGAAAATTTTGTGTTTTTTTTACATTATTTTTGGCTGCACTAGGTCTTCCTTGCTTTTGCTAGGGCTTTCTCTAGTTGCTCCAAGTGGGGACTACTGTTGGTTTCAGTGTGCGGGCTTCTCATTGTGGTGACTTTTCTTGTGGAGAATAGACTTCGGGTGTACTGGCTTCAGTGGTTGCATTTTGCTGGCTCTAGATCGCGGGCTCAGTAGTTGAAGTGCTCATGCTTAGTTGCTTGTGACATATGGAATTTTCCCAGACCAGAAATGGAACCCATGTCCCCTAATTGGCAGGTGAATTCTTATCCACTGCGCCACCAGGGAAATCTCCCACTTTGTCCTTTTAATATTATTATCCTTGGTGGAGAAAGAGAGAGGGGAAGCTATACTTTCCCTGGGAGGTTCTGTTTCCCTTGTGTAAAATGATAATGAGGAAAAGAAGAAAGTATTAGACACTCAGTCACGTCTGACTCTTTGCGACCCCACTGACTGTAACCCGCCAGGCTCCTCTGTCTGTGGAATTCTCCAGGCAAGTGTACCGGAGTGGGTTGCAGTCCCTCCTCTGTGGGATCTTCCCAACCTGGGAATCAAACCCACGGCTCCTGCATTGCAGGTGGATTCTTTATGGTCTGAGCCACCTAAATCCTCACCACTTGTCAACCACATTGCTCCCATCCCCACAAGGACAGAGCCCCTCATCTTCAGGCTCCTCCATCTACAGTCCACTCTCAATAAAGTATTCATTTAAAAATGTCATTCCTCTTCCGAGATTTTCTTAGTGCTTCCTGCTGCTTCCCAGAGTTCATATTCCTTAGGGAGCCACATGGATCCCTTCTTGTAGCCTCTTTCCACTTTATCGTCTTCTTCCATCAGAGCTCCCTAACTGTGGCCACCCTGAATCCATAAAATTCCCTTCATCACTCAACACTATCTCAAGAATTAGCAGCTGCTTCCTTGCCTCTCAGCACAGGTACCTTCCTGACAGACAGCTCTGTGGTAGGTGGTTGTGATGATTAAATAAAAGGAATGTTCAATGTTAACATAGCTTATAGTTGGTCCTCAGAATAGTTCTAGTTCCCTAGAAATGCCTGGAGCACTTTCAACACAAGCATGTATTACAAACTCAAGCTCAGATGGAGATGGCTTCATCACTTTCTGGAAGAAACACCCAGTTGGTAGCACTAAGTGATGAGATTAGTATATAGAATTTTAAAGATAAGATCCTAAACATGTATACCTTTTTTGAGAAATATGTTGTTTAATTTCCAAGTATTAGAAGCCTTTCTTGTTTTCTTTACCTGCTAATGATTTACAGTTGGAGCTCATTAGGGTCAGAGGACATTTAACTATATGATTTCAACTTTGAACAAATATGTAAAGGTTGGTTTTATGACCCATGACAGATGCTTGAAAAATATGTCTTCTGCTCTCATTGTTTGGAGTATTCTGTAATGTGTCAGACCTTGAGAAATGAGTGTATTATTTAGTGTTTCTGTCCCCTGTTGATGTCTTATCTACTAATTCTATCAATTACTGGGAGTGGCTTATTGAGGTCTCCAACTGTACTTGGACATTTAAGTTTGGTCAGTCTGATTAGTTTTGGTCGTTTTATTTTATGTATTTGATGTCTCTTTTATTTGGCACACACACATTAAAATTGTTGTGTCATCTTGGTGAACTGGCTCTTAATTATTACATAACCTCCCTCTTTATCGCTGATTTCCTTTGCCTGAACTTTACCTGATACAGTATAGCTAAGCACCTCTCTTTTGATTAGTATTTGCATAGCATATGCTTCTCCAGTCTTTCATTTTTAACCTACTTACATGATTATATTTGAAATGAGTTCTTATATATAACATATAAGTGGGTCATTTTTTTCATTCTGCCAATCTCTCTTTTATTGGTGAACTTAGATCCTTTATATTTAGCACAATTTCTGATGTGTGAACAGTTAAATCTGCCATTTTATTATTTATTTTCTATTTTTCACTTTGTTTTCTGTTTCTCTATTTCTCATTTCTGGTCTTTCTGTGAGTCACTTAAATATTTTGTAAGAACCCCGTTTTAATGTATCTGTAGTGTTTTTTAGTACGTCTCTGTATTCTGCTCTAAGTGCTTCCTGTAAAGCTTACAGGCTATGCATATATAGCTTGTTACATCATCTAGTGTTGTTTCCATTTTAAGGCTGAGGAAACTGACTAAAAACTGTCAAGTGATTTGCGTAAGTTATTCAAAATTGATGATGGCCAAACAAGGACTTGACTTCTACCCCCAGTCTCTACTTATGTTGCCTGACACTTCTTGAGATAGTTAGCAGATTTATTCAGGGTTTCATTTATCCAATAGATATTTATGAAGTGCTTATCATATGACAGGCATAGTACAATAGAGTATATGATGAAAGGTGTGGTATAAATTTATGGCAACCAAATGAGGTGTTATTAGGTAGGTTCACTGTGAATGAGAAGCCATGGGGATAATCTCTGTAGAATGCTGAAATGAATTTGCTTGAACTTGAAATAACTGTGAGGCAAGTGGCTATGTGGAGTAAAGTAAACAGTAGATTTTTAAATGGGAAAGTAACATGAGCTAAAACAAAGTGAGAAGGCAGTGAAGAAACTGGTTGATTTGTTTGGCATAAGGGGAACCTTCCTTATTTCCCGCATTTCTGAAACATTCTCCACCATAACTATATGGCTTATTATAGGAACATATATGTGAATAAGAAAAAAATCTAATTGGACTAAGGACGAGAAGTGATAGATAAGGAGGATAAATGTATTATGAGGACATACATTAGGCTGCTTGTAACAAAAAAAATCCCAAAATACAGTGGTGTGAAAATATTGAAATTTATTTCTCTCTCACAAGTTGAGATGTAGGCAGGAAGACCAGGATAGCAAAGCTGCTTTGCTCCACAAGATTATCCAAATACTCAGTGCTTCTATCTTGTTGCTCTGGTCTCATGACACTCAACATGAAGGGGAAAGTGGGAGGTGGTGAGAAGGAAATTTCCTTCAAGGACGCGACTCAGAAGATGCACACATCACCACTACTCACGTCCTATTGGAAGTTAATTGGGAAGTAATGTGGCCAGTTAATCCTTAGGGAGTTCCATCCCTCAGCAGAAGAGAGAGAAAATATGCTTTCTCCTTGCCTTCATTTAAGGATGAGACATACAGAGTGACTTAGAGAGAGCTCTACTTTATGCCCCCCAGCTAGGCACTAAATCTCTGTGCCTCATTTTCTGAAAACTAGGAATACATTATACGGTTGTTATAGGAACCAAGCAAGTTTGTGAATATTGGTTTATCCCAGGGTAAACTAGCACATAGCCAATGCTTATTTCTATATCTACCCTCCTCCTCCTTTCTTCAAAAATGTATAGTAACCAACTCAAGGAAAAACCAGTTGTTGGTTATAAATGAGGCATCACTTGTCTGACTTGATTGCCTCTTGGGCTCCTTTCATCCACTCTCTAGCCACTTCCCCTCCATTTCTTTGTCAATACCTTATCAGAATCTTTTTGCTAAAATACACTCCCAAATATATCAACAAAAATAAATAATTTTCTAATTAATCTTTGTATTATGGTTGCTATCCCCAGAATCCTAAAGATGGGAATTTGTAATAGCCCTCATTTTATTCATTTGGAAACTGAGACAGAAGAAAATTCTATCTATCCCCTTGAACAAGGGCTTCCACATCCCTTTGCACACAGAGCCCATTCATTCCACAGAGGCTCCAGTGGCCATCTGCCAGGGACCTGGGAACAAAGTGCCTTTCACATTGCTCTTCTCATTCTTCCTCACAGAAACTTCTTTGGAGGGGAGGGAGCACACAGTGCCGCTTGTGGGACTTTTGTTCCCTGTCCTGGCATCGAAACTGGGTCCTTAGCAGTGAAGGCCTGAGTCCTGAGGTCCTGACCACTGAAGCACCAGGGGATTCCCCCTTACATAAACTTTGAGGGAAGAACAGTTTTTTACCTTTTATAGCTGGGAAGGTGAGGCTCATAAAAAAGGGAAGTAGCTTTCCTAAGTGCTCACAGCTAGTCAACCACAGAGTTAAGATTTCCACATGTCTCCACAGCTAATGTGCTCCTCTCCATAATCCCTATAACGAAACTTCTGTCACCTACAGCCTGCTGAGTAAGGGGACATTCTCTCCTGGTATAGTAGGTTTGATTTACTAGGAAGTCCCTGTTCCCTACCCCAGAATTCACTAAACATATCTCTTCCTTTCTCTGGTGAGTCACATGGGCTGAGTTCTCTCTTTTCACTAGACTCTAAGACGCTTGAGGTTAGAGACCTTGTTTATTTAATCTTTATGCCTTATTCTCAGGACACATGTGCTCACCCAATTCAAGTACATTGAGCATATGAATGAGTGTGTATAATGAATGTCTATGTCCTATAGTGTAGTCTAGTTAAGAGCAGGAAAAATGGAAACAGGTAGACATATTTCCTACAGCTCAAGGTACACAGACAGACAAACACAGAGACTCCCCTCAATACAAGCCTCCCGCCAGCCCCATGCACCCTCCATTCCAGGATTCAGAGACATATGCATATTCAACTGTGACTCTTCTATTTTTCAGTTTGTGATGAAATATGGAAACATTTTTAGCATGGATTTTGGTACATTTCCTTCTGTTCTTATAACTGGATTGCCCTTAATCAAAGAAGCCCTTGTCCACCAAGACCAAAACTTTGCCAACCGCCCCTTGATGCCTATTGAAATATGTATCTTTAACAGTAAAGGTAAGTTTCTTGAACAATGTATGTTTGATATTCCTATGGTCCGTGAAAGGGTCTCCAACACTCCCAAGGACCAGGCCCATCATGTTCCTGCCCCTCTAGGAAGCTGAGTCCCCGCATTTCCCTGCTGAAGACACCCGCTATGGGAACCTGGCAGGGTCAGCCCTAATGTCAGGGATTTGGAAGAAGCCATGTTTTTTCAGATGGTTCCCACTTTCTCTTTGAAACATTTACTCTATTAACTCTACATCCATTCATTCCATGAAAGCCAGGTGTACCTAGTGCTAGGCACCAGTGACAGAACAGTGAGGAGAACATACAAAATCCTTGATTGTTCTATAACTTAACATACTATTAAGAAAAACAGTGTCAATTACACTAATAATTTAAGACCTCAGTGTTATGAAGATAAGAGCAGGGTTCACTTATTACGGGTATCTAATCTAGTCCTGAGACTCAGGAAAAACTTATGTAAGTAAATGACATTTAATAAAGTGATGAAGCAATGCAGCAGAGGGAATAAAATGTAAAAGTTTCCAAGTTGGGAAGACGGACAGTGAACTGAGGAATTGAAAGGTGGCCAGTGCAGGAAGCACAGGGATGAAATGGAGATAATTAGATGAAGATGAAGCTTCTGAGTTTGGCCAGAAATAGTTCATGCAAGTTCTTTTTAAGGATGTTGCTTTTTATGCTAATAACAATGGAGGTTCTGAATGGTTTAAGTAGAGGAAGGAATCATCATATTTATATGGTACATTTTAAAGACTTCTCTAAGCTGCAGTGTCAAGAATGGAATAAAGGAAGCAAGAGACTATTGTAGACTTTTATATTAGAGGAGGTGGTGGCCTGGAAGAGGGGAGTGGAAAGAAATGTCAATCCAGTAGGTTTGACCAGGAGAGTGGTGAAGATATATGGGTTTAAGCTACTCAGGAGGCAACTCCAATAGGACATGATGACCTAGACAGAGGGAGAATGAGGTGCTGAGGTAGACACCCAAGTGGGTAGGTAAAGAAGGAAGGAAGATGTGGAGGAGTACAAGGTGTTGTCTGGCCTGGGTAGGGAGTTGTATAGAGCAAACCATGAATTTAGTCATGAATATGCTGAGTGTGAAGCCAAGAGAGTCAAGCAGAGAATTGTACATGTGTCTGGAGCTGAGAGGCAGAAAATACGTGTTTACTGTCAGTAGATGTGATTTGAAATTTTAGAAATTGAGATTTCCTAGAAATGGAGGATAGGGTAAAGAGAGGAGGCTTCAGACCTAATAGAAGATAGTTAACCTAAGGTATGATAATTTCTCTGAAGTCATAGAATTACCAGAAAATTATGGAGAGTGTGGTGTCCTGGGCTCCACTGGCAGAGAATGTTTCAGAAAGAAAGGATCTCATGCTGCTGACTCATTAGGATGGGGTTGAAAAGGATCCTGAATTGAATAGCAGGGAGGGCCATTTCCCTAAGGTGGCGACAGTGTGGAAGGAGACATGAGAAGGAGTTGAAGAGTGCCCTGGAATGAAGAAATGGGAGGATGGTGGCCTCTCCTGTGTTATAAAATCACTGAAGTTCTATTACACACATCATACAGATTGTTTTCCTTTGCCTGTGGAGTTCTTTCTGCACAGTGTCCACAGTTTGTTATCTAGCATGATTCATTTATCTTTTTAAGATATTTAAGATCTTTTCTACTTATGAGTATTGACTCCTTCTAATCCATTAGTTCATACTTGGTATGTGGCATAACCAGTAATTAAATATTCTTATGAGACAAGTAATCAAACGACAGGCTTTGGAGTCAAGCAGACTTGAATTTGAATGCCTGTTTAGCTGCTTACTCACTCTGTGACCTTGCAGAGTTTACTTTTATCTCCCATGCCTCATTTTTCTCATCATCAAAGTTAGGCAGCTGGTTTGGCAGTAATGATTGTACCTACCTCAGAGAGTTTCTGTGAACACTAAATTACACAATGCATTAAAAATGCTAACATGTCCATCAGACGGGCAATCAGTAAATTCAAGTGATTATGTCTATTGCTTTGGAATTATTTCTCTAAATAGTTTTCAAGCACCTTAAAGCCCTTCTCCTTTCCTCCATCTGGTACCTTATCCTGAATGGGTCTTGTTGGCTTTTTTTAACATTAGCTTTCTTTTCCCAGGATTGATCATGTCCAATGGCCATGTATGGAAAGAACAAAGGAGATTTGCCCTGACAACTCTGAGGAACTTTGGTTTAGGAAAGAAGAGCTTAGAGGAACGCATTCAGGAGGAGGCTGCCTACCTCATCCAGGAAATAGGAGAGGAGAACGGTAATCAGGTCCTAGGACAGGTGCACTGACTATGGTTTATTCATTCACTAATCAGACGCTCAGTTAGAGCCTATGTGCCTGTCCTGTGCCCGGCACTGTGTGGGCCACTGAGGGAATGACAGTGAGCAGCTAACCATGACCTGCCCTCGTGGGGGTCAAGAATGAAGAAGAAGAAGAAGATGGGTATTAAACTTATTATTGGTTTTAAATCCTGGCCATCACTTTGACTTCCCAGACATTGACCAAGTACTTGCTGTGTGTCAGACCCTGTACAGAGGACTCTGGACACAGTCTCAGATGTGGTTCTGTAGTCGATGCGTCACATGTCACATAGAGTAGACTCTCTGGAAAATAGAAACCTATCTGAAGGCTCCATCTCTTCTTCTGCCTCCAGGACAGCCTTTCAACCCTCACTTCACAATCAACAATGCAGTTTCCAATATTATTTGCTCCATCACCTTTGGGGAACGATTTGACTACCAGGATGATCAGTTCCAGGAGATGCTGAGGCTGTTCGATGAGATCATGTATCTGAGGACATCAGTGTGGTGCCAGGTAAGCCTCTTCTCACTTCCTCTCTTAGATAAAGACTTTGGGCTAATGTCAGATACAGATGAGATGGTCTTCCTTTTGTTTTAGGCTAAAATGCAACCTTTGAAATTGATTTCACCACAAACTTATTTACAATCACTCTGTTGACTTTAGTGTTTTTGTCCCTGGAGATGGTAAAAAAATCTACCTGCAATGTGGAAGACCTAGGTTCAATCCCTGGGTTGGGAAGATCCCCTGGAGAAGGGAATGGCAACCCACTCCAGTATTCTTGCCTGGAGAATTCATGGACAGAGGAACCTGAAGACCTATATAGTCCAAGGGATCGCAAAGAGTCAGACACAACTGAGCGACTAACACACACACACATTAAATATTTACTGTTGATAAAAAACATTTCTTACGTTCATTTAAAGTACAGAACTTTTTATGATATACACATATGCACTTACGTTCTTTTCCTTAAAAAACAGTATTGCCATCACTTTTGAGTCTCTCCTCTCCACGTTCCTCCCTAGCTCCACACCTCCATGATCCTCAGATGTGTGTTTCTGTGCCTGACTCCCCCTCAGCACATTGCTTTGACTCATTTGTTAGTTCCTCATTTTATTCTGCATAGTTTTCCACTTCATGAATGTGACACTGATTGTTATTCTCTTGAATAATGGCTTGGGGGATTAATAAACACATTTCTAATTAGAGGGATTTCTAATTTGAGGGATATTATGAATAAAGCTGCCATGAATATTCTTGTTTTATGCACACTCAAAGATACACACACACACACACACACACACACACACAAGAGACAATTGCCATGAACAAAATAATAAAACAATATAAGGGAATAGGAAGAGGGTCCCAGGGGTGCTGCTAATTAGAGGATACCAGGTAAGACAGGTTCAAGTAAGTGACACTTATGTGGACATGAATGAAGTAAAAGGCTAGTGTTGTACAGATTTCATAGGAAGACCAGTCTGATTGTATGAATAGCCAATGCAAAGGACTAAACATTATCGTCCTTGAGGTTATCACAGAGACCAATGGGGCTGGACTGGAAAGACAGAGAGAGTAAGGTGGCAGCAAGTGATAGCAGAAGAGGGGACAGAAGGGTGAGAGGCCAGCTCATGTGGAGCTCCAGATCAGAAGAAGGATGTAGAACTTGTCTAAATGTCATGGAAAGTCAGTGAAGTATTGAGGGATAAGCAGTGATACGATTTATTAAACTGTTAAAGGGTCCCTCTGACACCTCAGTGGAAAATCGACTGGGAAGGGGGTTAAGGAGAGAATCAAGGAAAATGGTGGAGTCTTTACAGCATCCAGGTGAGATATGTTGGTGCTTTGTACTAGAATGACAAATACATGGAGTAGTGAGAAGTGGTCTGAAATTGGTTATATTTTGGAAGAAGTGCTAAAATACTTTGCCAAGAGAAAAGAAGAGGATTGAGACAGAGAAGATGAATCAAGGTGGCTCAAAGGGTTAAGTGTAAGCAAAGAAAATATATATAAAGATACTATGGTTTCTTAGTCTTCAAGAATGAAAAACTGACACCCTCTTGTCTTCATGACTGTTTTGTTTTCTCCATCAGCTCTACAATGTCTTTCCAAGCATAATGAATTTCCTTCCAGGTCCCCAGCAAACACTCTTTAGTAAATGGGAGAAACTTAAAATGTTTGTTGCTAACGTGATTGAAAACCACAAGAGAGACTGGAATCCTGCTGAAGCAAGAGACTTCATTGATGCTTATCTCCAGGAAATAGAAAAGGTGAGAGAACCTAAGTGTTTTCCTGAGTAGTGTTCTTAAAGAACAAGTGAAAGGATTCTGGTTTCCTATGCTGCTGTAACAAATCAAACTTAGGGGCTTACATAGACCCACATTTATCAAGGTAAGGTGTTGGCAGGCCTGGCTCCTTCAGCGGCTCTAGGGCAGAATCTGTTGAATCACTTCTCCAGCACCTAGAGGCTGCTGTACTGCATGCCTCAGGGCCCCTTCCTCCATCTTCCGAACCATTGATGTATCTTCTTCTCTGCCACCATCCTCATATGGTCTCTTTATGTTCTTGCCTCCTCTTATAGAGACTCTTGTGGTTATAATTGAAACATTGGGATAATCCAGGGTAATCTTTCTATGTCAAAATCCTTAACTTCATCATATCTGCAAAGTTCCATCTGTCAAAAAACATTCACCAGTTCCAGAGATTAGAACATGGACGTTTTTGTGGCTTATTTTTCAGCCCACCACAGGGGAAGGATATAGAGTTTAGAAATACCATGACCTCAGAATTGATGATACAATTAGAAATAAAAATATTAGTTTAAGAGTAATTGACTTAAGGTCTTTGAAAAACCCAAATACTGCCTTTTCATTTTTCAATCTCTATCCTCTACCTGAGTCTGAAGTACCTATGCACAAAAGGAAAAAGAACCATTGTTTCACTATCACTTGGGCCAGTACCCAGACTCCTACCCCTTTCTTTAGCTCCCTAGTGCAGAACACAAAAGTGAAGCTGAGTCAGAGGCCAGAGTTAAGCCTCAAGTGGAGGGACATTTGCCTTCTTCCCTCATCCTCAGTCATCCACTTTCCAATATTATATAGGAGAAGCAAGAAAAAGGCCAAATTGGTTGTATATCATTTAGCATAGTGAACCCGCTGGTTAATACTCATCACTGCATCAGTGTTATCATTTTTGTCTCATTAGATTGTTCATTCCTTCTCCTGGAGTTGAAAGAATGGTGCATTTTTCCATCTCCTCTCTTAGTTCACCTTACTCTTACACCGTTACTAGAGGCACTGATTCTTCCTGAGAGAAGGAGACTTCACTTGCTGTGAGGTGTGCGGGAGTGGGATCCCACACAGGGCAACACTGGCACACTGCAGCTCCTGGAGGAAGGTGGTGTGAGGCTGGAGGGCCACGGGGAGAGGCTGTGAGAGAAGGTTAACCAGGGCCATGTGAGGATTGTTGTACGCTAGAGAAGTGCATTTTATTCTGGTATCAGTACACACATTTGTTGAAAATTTGTTATGTGCCCTTTCGACTCACATAATTTATAATATAACTTTCAGGGGTGAGTGTTGTTATTTCTATTTTATGAATCAGGGAAGTGAAACATAGACAGGCTGATAAGTTTGAGGTTTAGTAACCTGACCAAGCTGTACAGGTAGTGAATGATGTGGGGCTAACATTGGAACTCAAGACTGTTTTTCCAATGTAATAATAGATTCTCCCAAGTTATGGAAGTAAAATAAATTTATTGTCTCGATTTTCATCCACCAGAGCTAACAGAAGATTCTAGCACTTGGGGCAGGAGGATGCTAAGTATACTGGAGTAATAAGTCTCTGCCTCCTAAGATGACCAAAGGGAAAGCCATTTCTCCTGGGGAGGAGGTGGTCTCTCCTCCCATGTTTTGTCTAGAATGAAGCCCTCTGTGTTGTGGCAACTAAGAACAGTCTCAATAAACCAATAATCACTGTGCTTTCTAGCATAAGGACAATGCTGCTTCATGTTTCCATGAAGAAAATCTTATCTACAATACCCTGGACCTCTTCTTCGCTGGAACAGAGACAACTTCAACCACCTTGCACTGGGGTCTGCTCTACATGGCCTTGTACCCTGAAATCCAAGGTGAGCACATCAGGGGGTAGGCCTGGGTCAGGTCAGAATACTTCCCTAAATTAGTTCGTGTAAATCTCAGTATTCCTAAAGGGTGCTATTTGATTTATCCTCACTATTAAGAAGAGGAACCTGAGACTCTAAGAGCTTCAGAAACTCACAGCAGGAATGTTGTCGAGCAAGAATTTGCCACCAGATTTGTCTCACATCAGGGCTACTTCCTACTCACATAACCTCCCTGAAGAGCTAGTCTGGATAACCTAACATAACCATTTTTATCCTGGTTATTCCATTCCTTAGCTTAACCAGGCTTAAGAAAAATTGTGGAATATTAGAATAATACAACCTTCTCTTATTTTCCAGAAAAAGTCCAAGCTGAGATTGATAGGGTGCTTGGCCAATCTCAGAAACCAAGCATGGCCACACGAGAGTCCATGCCCTACACCAACGCTGTCATCCACGAGGTGCTGAGAATGGGGAACATAGTCCCTCTGAACGTACCCCGGGAGGTGGCAGTGGACACCACCCTGGCCGGATACCACCTGCCCAAGGTAATTAGGGCCTCTCTCATAGCCTCAGGTCTCCAAGCTCATATTTGTAAATGGTTGGAATCTCATTGGGAAATGTGACATGTTTTCTTGTCTTAGGAAAGCACTTAAATAGGGAGAGAGATATATTAATATTATTGCTGATGTAATAGAATTTTTTCTTCCTGTGGGGTTTTTAGAACGTTAGTTCAAGAAAACGTTAATAGGTGTTGTGGGAAAATAAGGGGATTCCTAGGTCAAACATATTTAGGCAAAGACTTGCTATTTTAAATTTGAGATGTCTCAGTGTTTTAATACATGATGTGCATTGTTAATTCCTGTGGGTATACAGCAGGCAGCAATTCTCAGTCAGACTTTGCCATGAGGTCCTTTTCTTTACCTTGGGAGAACTTCTCACAGGATAGGGACCTGCCACACTTATGTTGGAAAATTCTGCTTCACAATCCTGGTGGTTTAGAATATTGAACTATGAATAAATATTTGAGACCATCTGAGCCAAAATCACATTAAAGTGATGTTTCTAGCGTAATATCCCCAAATGTATTTTTCCAGCTTTGATGTACACCCCCTTGATGGGACTGCTTCACGGGGGAAAACAATCCAAGTCCGTGCAGTACTAAATATCAGAAAAGGAGAGAAAGGACCCAGTGCTTTTTAAGCAGTGATTATGTGCCATTGGTTTTCCCTGGTAGCTCAGACTGTAAAGAATCTGCCAGCAATGCAGGAGACCTGGGTTTGATCCCTGGGTTGGGAAGATCCCCTGGAGAAGGGAATGACAGCTGACTCCAGTATTCTTGCCTGGAGAATTCCATGGAGAGAGGAGCCTGGCAGGCTACAGTCCATGGGGGTTGCAAAGAGTTGGACACAACTGAGCAACTAACATACATGCTCTATGTGCCATTGACTGTTTGGGGTCTCTCAAAATATCTTTATCGGTCCTCAGAATAATTTTGTTATCCTCATTTTACAAATTTGAACTTCAGGCTGAGAGAGTTACTAGTCTTTTAAAGAGTTCTCAACTGCAAAATGACCACAGCTGGGTTCCAGAAACAGAGTTTTTCTGATTCCCAGGCTCATCTTTTTCTGTTCTACACAAAGCTCTCTCCTCAGGGGTTACTTTATTTTGCCTTTAAAAAAGACTCCCTGTAATTGTTCTCTGTGGGGCCCTGTCCTCACAAAGACAATTCTGCTCTCATTCTGCCCACCACTCTTAGGATCTCAGTAGACAGCTCTCCTGTGCCTCCGAGTGTCCTCTCTGCATACTGCACATTCACAGTTCTTTCCTTTCTCACCCCTTGGTCCATCTCTGTGGATCCATTGAAGTTTGTCTGAGTTTCTCTGTGTGTGGAACCTGGGGCTGATATCAAGGCAGAACAGTAGGAACTTCCCCACTGCATTCCCCTTTGTCCCCATCCTGCAGAGCTGGGAAAAGCAGCTATTCCTGCAATGATTGTGTTTACCATTTTCTAGATGACTGACCATTTTGTGGGTGAAATCTGAAGTCTAAATGACTTCACAGGATATCTTTGTATATTCATAGCAATTAATTTAGCTCCCGATAACCATTCTAAGTCAATAGACTGGTTATAACAAGTTTTCTTTTCTGATGTAGTATTCTGCAGGCCCAGGGAGCCAAGTAAACCGATTTTTAATAGCAGCTCGAATAGTCACCCTGAGGGATGGCATGTGCAGTGCTTCTCCACATAGCCCCAAGCTGAGGAGTTCTGAAGCCCTGGCTTCCAAGCCTCCACATGCAACCCTTTATGAGAAAGTGATACTAGACTAAATGCAGAGGAAAAGAAGATGGGGCATTGGGTGCTAAGGAAAGGCAGGTACTTGCTGAAGGATACACAATGAGAATGCTCCTCAAATTGGGTAAAACTTAGGTCACAGAAAGCCAGGTCCTGGTTGATTAGCTCACGATAGTGGAGTAGAAGGGCTTGAACTTAACCTTCTTATGCAAACACAAAAACCACAAATATCTTCTGAACAACCATTGACCAAAAGAAAAAAAAGGAAACCTACCAAAAAAAGATACCCTACATCCAAAGATGAAGAAGCCACAGCAAGATGGCAGGAGTGGCGCAACTGGGATAAAGTCAAGTCCCATACTCACCGGGTGGGCGGTGTGCAAGCAGTAAGCCAATTACATCACAGAAATTCTGCCACAGAAGTGGAAGTCCTGAGCCCCATGTCAAGTGCCCCAGCCTCGGGTCTGACAACCGGAGGATGTGCCCCCACAGAATCTAGCTTTGAAGACCAGCAGGGTTTGATTGCTGGCATTCCACAGGACTGGGGGTAACAGAAGCTCCACTCTTGGAGGGCACACACAAGGTGGTGTGCATACCAGGACCCAGGGGGAAGAAGCAGTGACCTCGTAAGAGGCTGGACCAGACCTACCTGCTAGTATTGGAGGGTCTCCTGGAAAGGCGGGGGGCAGCTGTGGCTCACAGCAGGGACAAACACACTGGTAACTCCAGCACGTACTCATTGGCATGAAGATACCCTGAGGCTGCCATGCAAAACAGCATGGAAAGGAGTGGGGAAATATGACAGATTGAGAAATTGAAAGAGGCTTGATGTAGTGGGAGCACAGGTAGAAGGATGGTTGCTCAAACAGGGGCAGGTGATGTGTCCTTAATCTAAGAGTGATGGGAGCTCTTGAAGGCTATCTGTCAAGTGCCAGGTATGGTGGGTGGAAAGGACTAACATGATTAAATCACATCCAAAGTTAACTCTGCTTTCATTGTGTTGAGAACAGTGAAGGGGAAGAGAGGATATAGAGTTGTAGTCAGAGCAACTGTAGGAATGTGTGGACAACCAAAGTTGTCCTTGGACCTAGCAGTGGGGGGCATAATGCAAGTGACAGAATCAAGAGAAATTTCACGTAAAATTGACCAGCCTGCCCAAAGGACTGGATGAAGGCAAAATGAGGAAAAGGGGGGCACTAAGGAGGACTCCTGGATTTCTTGCTGTGTACTAAAAAGGATAGTGGTCCCTTCCACTGGGTGACCTGATTCTATCATTAAACCTTCTGTGGAATGTGCTAGATAATGGAGGGAAGAGAATGGAGGGAGAAACTTAGACGAATGAGACATTTTTTTGTTATACAAACTGCCATAGTTACCACTTCACTGAGCAGCTGGGTTGATTTTGATCCAGAACTGCCTGCCCACTCTCACATGATTCATACATGTTGCATACATGTTCATTGATTCATATGTGTTCCCTCCCAAGTTCAACACTGACACGTCCCTGCAGAGATACATTCTGCACTAAGAGTAGTCATACCTCCCTGATCAAATTCCCAACAGACAATTCCAGTCCACAGTTTTAAGCTGACTCATGAGAAAGAGTTGGGTCATAGGGATTGGACTCTGAAGTTACTTGGTTGGGGAATTTGAGGGAATTTGGGGTGCTATCAACATTAATGTAGGAGCCTGGGGGGCTGCTGCCCCATTGCACACGTATGTTGTGTGTGTAGTGTCTTGCACGAGTCTTTTCTGCCTTCTCCAGGGCACCGTGGTCACGACCAACCTGACTGCTCTGCACAGGGACCCCGCAGAGTGGGCCACCCCTGACACCTTCAATCCAGAGCATTTTCTGGAGAATGGACAGTTTAAAAAACGGGAATCCTTTCTGCCTTTTTCAATAGGTGAGTAGCAAAAAACAGGAGTGTGGGAACCCAGAGTCTCTCTCTTTACCCTTCTCTACTCTTCTCCTTGTGAGGCTTTGCTTTAGTTGGAATGTCTCTAGATCGCCCTGCCCAGTGTGGCTCACTCTTGCTATGGTTGCATCTTAGGATTCCCTGGGTGGAGCATCACCAGGACTCATGCCCTTACTTCCTAAGCCCTGGCTTGACTTGGAGATTTCAGCATCAAGTTGTTCTGTCCCCAGAACACTGGAGACAGAAGCTTAGCCTCTGCCTGTTACCCACAAAGAAGGTTGGAACCTCACCATCTTCATAGAGCTACAAGTGTTCCATAATCCTTTTAGGTCTGCCCATTCACATAAAAATAAAGCTATTTCCTAAGAAAGGGGTGGAGGAGGTTCCAGTAAAGGGGCTGCTTCCTTATCATTATGGGTATCACAAGTGACTCTAGGTGCCATGGACTTAAGTAGATGAGGTTCTACTCTATCCATTTTCTGATGAGGTCCCTTTGACTTTTAAAATTCTAATAACCCTTTAAAAATCTAGTTAATACATTTACATGGTGCACAACTTGAAATGTACAAAAGAGAATGCAGAGAAAACTTTCTTTCATGTTTCCCAACCTGCCTGTTAGAAAAGGGTGTTTTAACTCATAACAATGTGAAATGAGTAACAAAATTCTCCATATATACCAGATAACAAGTTAAGTATGCTGCTGAAATCGTTTCAAATAATTTCCCAAATCCTTAATTCTATAAATGTTTCCTGAGCGCCTATTTTGCGTCAAACATTCAGCCTGGAGGATATGACGATGACTAGGTAGGGGGAAAAAACAATGCAACTCTCATGGACCACGTGGTGTAGTATAACCTTACATGGTTCAAATTCCTATCACCACATTGGGGATAAGGAAGGAAACTGAAGCTTAGAAGGGCCAACTGTGGTATCTACAGTAATAAAGCTCATAGAAGCAGAGCTAGAACTCAGTGTTGAACATGTTTATCAAATACTGAAGCCTGTGCTCTTCCTAGCAGTGTCTTCTTTAAAAAGTAACTAAATGCTAGTGAGTTAACACTCTGAAATTCATAGTAGTTTTCTAATCATTAATTTAAAGTAAATATAGATTGATTATCTGCAACAGTATAATTTTACTTATCATGACGCAAAGGCACAATAAGGGAGGGACTGGAATTTGAACCCACATAGACGTGATGCAGAGCCCAGGTTTCCTGCTGTAGGACTTGTCTTGCGTGTATCTAGACTGGTTCTGGTTAGATCTTCTATATCTTTCTTACTCTCATTCTATGCCACTGTTGCTCACTTTGACAAGTCACTTTCTAACATGAGAGCAGACATGAGATGTGGGAAAACCATCTTCCTGTCTGCAAGAGCTTCCGATTTCCTATTATAGTACAAAGCTGCAGGTGCTTTATTTAAGTATAGAATTATTCTCGCCTCACTGGTTTTGTTGTTGTTGTTTTTATTCAAAGTTGTACCACACCCTTCTAATTATAGATTTCATTGGCAAGCAAATTGTTTTACTTACTACTTACGAAAACCCAATTATTAGCAGTTAAACATAAAGGGATCAGTATCTCAATGTAAGGAAATTAGGATTCAGAGAAAGTTGTTTCTCATCCAAGGTCATCTGCCCAAGGAATTGGCAGAAAAGGGCAAAAGACTCAAGTTTCTGGTTTCTTTTTAAATTTTTATTGATGTATAGTTGATTTACAATATTGTATTAGTTTCGAGTGTACAGCAAAGTGGTTCCATTGTACATACATTTATACCTTTTTTTCCCCTTACTGGTTATTACAAAATATTGAGTGTAGTTCCCTGTGCTATACCGTAGGTCCTTGTTGGTTATATTTAAGTTCTAATCTAGTGCTCTTGCTAACACAATTAGAACGTTATTTATATTCCTAAAGTAACTTCCATTTTAAGATTCACTGAGTTCATATTTATATGTATTGATCATTATATTACTACATAACAAAGTCAAGAACTCAGTTACTTAAAGTAATATGTATTATAGCTCCCAAGTCTACAATTGAGCTTGGGAGCTCGATTGATCTTAGCTGGGCTTTTTTGCCTGTTTGGGAGATCAGCTGGCTGAAGGCTGATCTAAGATGACCCCGGCTGGGACAACAGGGCTCTTTTCCAGGTTTTTTCCTCCAGCAGGTTAGCCCAGCTGGTGTACTTGTGGAAGATCTGACCACAGGTGGGAGAACAGAAGCACACACAGTGCCTCCAAAAGGCCCCGCTGGGAACTGGAGACCATCACCCCCACTGCCTTCTGGTGCCCATGCAGGTTATAGCCCCAGGTCAAAGGAAAGGGAAAACGGCACAATTTTGGGGAAAGGGCTATGAAATCACATTGCAAATAATGGGGTTATAGGGAGAGGGTGGAACTTGGAGCCGGTGTTGCAATGAAGAGTTCCCACAAGCTGTCTTTCTGCCTAAAAGTCAAATCCAGAAATAGGCAAGTATTTGGTGGATACTCTCAGCTGATACAGAATGAGGGCTGGCCGAACACAACAGGATATAGAAACCTGAAAAATGCACTGAGTCAAAAAGTCAACACAGTGTCAGGTTTTTTCCCACCACACTCCCGTCTTCGGGGCACTGTTGCTTTGCCTCATTCTTGATCCAGCACTTTGTAAAGAAAACTTCCTTGAAGGCATGGGAAATGCCTTCTCTTGGAAAGATGATCAGGTGTAGAATTAGGATGTATGCACAGTCAGGGCGGATGCCAAAACTATTATTGCAAACTTGTATTTTCTTCATGTAAGGTTTTCCCCTTTGACCCAACAAAACAGCAAACAACTTCTTGAAAAGCAAGAGACTGAATCCTCATTTTCAAAAAAGAAATAACTGGATCATAGGAGATAAGATTAGAAAGATCTTTTTTCAAAAGCCCTAGGCCAGTTCTCTCATTCCTAGTGAGGCAATTGACCTGGTTAGTGATGGCCAGCTGGTGGAAGCACCAAGGAGAAGATCTATGTTTCCCATAGTCCAGGATGAAGACTTGAAGTAAAGTAGCCCTACTTTTCATGATTTATAAATCATGTCTCCTATCTTATTGGTATCCTTTCCCAGCCACATACTGTGGTTAGGAGAAAGATTACTTCACAAGTTTGACAAGTGAGAATTGTTTATGTCGGTGAGAAGAAACGATTTACTCATAGCCCAGAGCTGGGTACTGATGGAACCAGTACTGTAACTCTGGTTCCTCACTCTGTGGGTCCAATTTTGTCACAATATCTGGATTCTTCTAGGAAAATCTTAGGTATTTACAATACAACTGATTTGGTATCATTTGAACCAATTTCTTCACTGTTACATTAGGGATGGATAAAGAAATCAGAATGAGAGGAACAGAAATATTTAGACATGTGCCGGTGGGAAACATAGAAACAGAATTATATAAAATGGCATAATTCTGAAGCATATTTTGGTTTATTAAACACTTTTGCAGCTACGCTCTAATTTTATTTCCTCAACAAGTGGTTTCAGGCAGAGGACACAATCTGAAGCATGCTACATTACTGCTTTCCAAGAATACTTCATTACTTGAGGAAACACGAAAAAGCAGCACCCAGAATTAACTACAGAGAGTAATGCCAGTGAGGGTGTACAGCAGAATCTTTTCAAAGACAGCTAGGCAATATGTTAAAATGTTAACAAGGGTTTTGTCTGGATTATAGGATTACAGACATCTTTTATTTCTATTTTTCACACATTGTCTTCATTTTTGCAGTAAACATGCATTACTTAGGGAGAAAGTAAGTTATTAAAACACCCACAAGAGAGATGGTGGTAGAGCCCTGTTTGGGGTGTTGTAGCCCAACTCAGGGAGGAAAACATCATGAAGGGAGGGGGGTGGGTGAGGGAAGGCTGGAGCAGGTGAACACAGGTGGGATGAGACGGAGTCTTACTTTTGTCCTATGGGCAGTGGGGGTGGGGTCCTATGGTGTGAGATTCCCAGTTATTAAGGCAGAAAACCTGCCAGAGGGAGAAGGTGCCTCCTGCTTGAGAAACTTTGACATTCATTTGCTTATACTTTTCATCAGTCTTTTTTTGAAAATTGAAAAAATAAAATGCAAAATTTTGCTTTTTGTCTGCTTTTGTCCTTATCATTTGCTAATGGATTTTTGAAAGACTTTTGACTTGACAACATTTGTAGGTCGACCCAACCCCTCACTTGTTTCATCCACACCCTGTACCTTCATCCTGTGCCTCACCAGTCTGACCCCTGAAGGCACTGGAGTGTGTGATTGCGGAATGAGCTCCCTGGACTTAGGATACACCAGGTGGTTATGATCAAATAAACAGTGCATAAAGCCCCAGGACCAGGCAGGCCCTCACCTTGCTCAGGTTTTACAAGATGTGGTGGGAGATTTCCATCCTTTCGGGGCACAGATACCATCTGAGGAGGTAACTCATCTCATGTTTTTGTCTTTTAGGAAAGCGGATGTGCCTTGGAGAACAGTTGGCCAGGACTGAATTGTTTATTTTCCTTACTTCACTTCTGCAAAAATTTACTTTCAGGCCTCCAGAGAATGAGAAGCTGAGCCTGAAGTTCAGAATGAGCATGACCCTCTCCCCAGTCAGCCACCGCCTCTGTGCTATTCCTAGGGTGTGAAGTTGTCGGGAGTGGGAGAGAGAGGGGGAGGAAAGAAGGAAGAATGGGCATGTCCCGCCAAGGCAGGGCGCCTGCTCAGAAGTGAGGGAGCGGCATCCAGTGCCTCTAGGACAGGTCACAGGAGCTGGACTCAGAAGGAACTGGATCCAAACCCCAGCTTTGTCATCTTCAGTGGAGCCTTAGGAAATCAGTTACTTTGTGAGTGATTTGCCATTTCATCTAGGAGATTTAATCAATCTTGAGTACTCTTTGGAAGGACTGATGCTGAAACAGAAGCTCCAGTACTCTGGCCACCTGATGCCAACGACTGATAAATTGGTCATTGGAAAAAACCCTGATGCTGGGAAAGAGTCAGGGCAGGAGGAGAAGAGGGCGACAGAGGATGAGATGGTTTGATGGCATCACTGATTCAATGGACATGAACTTGGGCAAACTCTGGGAGATGGTAAGGGACAGGGAAGTCTGGCATGCTGCAATCCATGGGGTCTCAAAGAGTCAGACACAACTGAGTGACTGAACAACGAATAACAACAACTAGGAGATTTGAAGTGGACAACAATTCCTTAGCTAAACAGAAAACTGCTATTAAGATCAGAGGAGTAAGGAGGAGACTTATGGAGAAAGGAGGGGAAAGAGAGGGTAGAACTAATTGAGGAAGTAGCATTGCCATATATACACGACCATGTGAAAAATAGATATTGGGAAGATGCTGTATAACACAGGGAGCTCAGCTGGTGTTCTGTGACCGCCTAGAGGGGTGGGGTGGGGTGGGAGGATTGAAGCTCAAGAGGGAGTGGATGTGTGTATATCCGTGGGACTTCCTGGGCAAGAATACTGGGTAGCCATTCCATTCTTCAGGGGATCTTCCTGACCCAGGGATCAAACCCAGGCCTCCTACATTTCAGGCAGGTTCTTTACCATCTGAGCAACCAGGAAAGCTGTATATATCTGTGTGTGTGTGTGTGTGTTTATGTCTGATTCACACTGTGGTATAGCAGAAACCAACATGACATTGTAAAGCAATTTTGCTCCAATTAAAAAAATAGATCAGGGAAAATAATGGACTTTAAGTGGTTTGTAAATTGTAAAGCATATCACAAAAGTTATAATCATGATCTGCTTTTCTGTGCCCTTCCTGAGAGGGAAATTTGCTTCTGGCCTGTTGAGATGCCCTGGGTCAAAGAGGTGCCAAATGATGGATACGAGTTTCAAGTTGGGCCCTGGGGCAGCCACGGAGGTCAATCAGAAAGGCCCTCACACTTGGTAGCACTGGGCAAACTTATCCTGCTTCTGCCTCAGACTGGCCCCTGGAAAATCAGTAGGGCAGGGAGAGCCTTGATTTATAGGCAGGTTTCTGTGGAGAAGCAGTTTCTCTGGTTTACCTAAGAATACACTGCCTTGGCTTTGCAAACCAGAGCCAAGAAGGACATCACTACATATAACCAAACATGGAAATCAATTTATGGAGAAACAAATGTGGAAATATTTTGCAATTATATTGTGCCTCCTTACCTTAAATCCTCTCATGCATTTATTCCCACCCCACCCCCTCTTATTGGTATTAACAACATGGTAGTTGTGATCTTTTCTTATATATTGATTGTCAGCTTTTAACTGACAAATATTCCCAGCCTAAACACAACTGATGAGCTCTGGTAAAGTATAGTATAGAAGGAAACAGAAATGCCAAAATCCTGATAGCCCTCCTGTGTGTGGTCACTGAGGGGAGAAAATGGCATCAACGGGAAGGCCAGGTGCCACTGAGAGTCCATGGGGTTTTGATGCCAATCCCCATGCAGACAAGCACCAGCAAACCTGGTAAACTGGACTAAACCTTGTAGTTTATTTTTCTCGTGTTAGAATTAAGAAATTTAAATATCTCAGAACCAAATGGCACTTGAGAACATGGGCCTTTTCATCCCTGTTGCTTGGAATTTAGAGAAAAGCTAAATCATGACACCATTAGAAAGGAAATCAGGAAGAGAAGGCAAGAGAGAAGGAGTGAGAGAGTCTGGCTGGAGCTAGCCTGAGCCTGTCAGAGTCAAGAGTAAGTCTGGGAGAAATGGTTGTGTGTCCTGAAAGGCAGGGAGATGATTTGCTCTGGAGTAGAAAATGAGAACCCCAGCTGCCCACCAGAGTGCACTTCCTTTGTAATCTTTTGAAAAGTTTCATCTCTATAAAAACACCTTAAATGACATTTCTGAAATGAAACCAATCAAACCAGACCTTTAACTTCCTGAGTATCTGAGACCTTGTCATCCACTCTGTTTTTCTGCAGTCAGATCATCCTCATAGGAGACTGAAAATTGGCCAAAATACTTTCCCTTATCTACTCAGTCTCAACTGTTCAATGAACTCTGTTGAATCATCTCCAAGGTCCATTCATGCTCTGCTGTGCATTTTCCATGATTTACTAGAATCATGTTTACCAGAGTCAGTAGGGCAGGCATTTACCTACTCCCTTTGGAATCAATGGAAAACTCCTGGACACTCATCCTGCGCTAATGATGCAGTGGGACCCAGAGCCAAGTAACATGTGATCACAATTAACCAGAAAGCTACAGGATACAGGGCTGGGAGTGGCTGAATTTCTGAACTTGCAAAGTGTCTCCTTTTTTCCTCAAAGCTCATATTTCAGAGACCCTTAAATATGAATTCTCTACTGTAAAAGCATTACACAAGGATTTTGTTTTCTGTCCTTTTGTAACTCTCTTATTCCTCATCTATTTTGGAAGCTCCAGGTCATCTTTCCCTCTTCCTTTGTGTCTGTCTCTGACACCTAATGTGCCAGCATATGACATGTTCTGTGACATCGTGGATGAGATGCAGATTTTACTGGAAAGCACTCAGGCTGTGAATATTCCCTTCACCCTCGTCCTCCCTTAGAGACACTGACATGCACAGGCTGCTATGTTATTTAAAGCCAGCTATTTGGAGGCTGGCCTTTTACAAGGAGACGAGGAGCAGGGCACTCAGGATACCCTGAGTTGCATAGAAACATATTCAGGTCAGGCATGACTGGAGGACATGCACCAAAGAGGGGGGTCCAGCAGAGGGGCCACTTCCCACGCTTCTGTGTGTTTACAGACAGGAGGCAGGAGCTGGCAGATGACTAAGAAACAAGGACAGCATCCTAGGTGAGTTTGCCCTGGGAACCTGAGAGCCTGCCTCCATGACAAGCTCTTCTCCCTGTGATCTAACTCAAACTTGCTTATTGCTAAGCTACCAAGAAGGAAGGAGGCGGGCACTGAGGATGAGTGTCCAGGGACATTGGTCCATGTCAATCATCCCAAATTCCAATGTATTTTCTCTTCTTAGCAAGATGACACTACTATGTTGCAAATTCTCTCATTCTAATAAAGGATTCAAGTCAGTCTTCCAGGGAGCCCCTTATGGTTCATATTTAACATATTTTGTTTAATATAATAAATATTTATATATATAATATATATTAGAAATAAATTATATATAAACTTTTTGTGGTATAAATATATCTATATTAAATCAAGTAACTGTTTACTTTGCATATAATACACTAAAGTGTAGTTGTAGTCTTAGAAAAGTACAGCCCACCAAGTATGAACCAGAAAGAAATAGAAATTATATGCAGACCAATCACAAGCACTGGAATTGAAACCGCAATCAAAAATCTTCCAGAAAACAAAAACTCAAGGCCAGATCGCTTCACAGGCAAATTTTATCAAATGTTTAGAGAAGAGCTAACATATATTCTGCTCAAACTCTTCCAAAAAATTGCAGAGGGAGGAATACTCCAAAGCTCATTCAATTAATATGAGGCCATGATAACCCTGATACCAAAACAAGACAATGATACCACCAAAAAAGAAAATTACAGGCCAATATCACTGATAAACATATGTCAAAAATCCTCAATAAAATACTAGCAAACAGAATCCAACAACACATTAAAAGGATCATATACCATGATCAGTTGGGGTTTATCCCAGAGATGCAAGGATTCTTCAAAATATAAAAATCAATCAATGTGATACACCATATTAGGAAACTGAATGATAAAAATCATATAATAATTTCAACAGATGCAGAAAAAGCATTTGACAAAATTCATCATCCACTTATGATTAAAAAGACTCTTCAGAAAATGGGCATAGGAGGAACCTACCTCAACATAATAAAGCCCCTATATGACAAACTTACAGCAAACATTATTCTCAAAGGTGAAAAACTGAAAGCATTTCCTCTAAGATCAGGAATAAGACAAGGTTGCCCACTCTCACCACTGTTATTAAGTATAGATTCAGAAGCCCTAGCCATAGGAATCAGAGATGAAAAAGATAGAAAATGAATACAGATTGAAAAAGAAAAAGTAAAACTAACTGGTTGCAGATGGCATGATGCTATACAAAGAAAACTCTAAAGATGCCATCAGAAAATTACGAGAACTGATCAATGAATTTAGTAACACTGCAGGATACAAAATTAACACAGAGAAATCCCTTGCATTCCTATACACTAAAAATGAAAAATCAGAAAGAAAAATTGAGGAAACAATCCCAATCACCATCTCAACAAAAAGAATAAAATACCTAGTAATAAACCTAAGGAGAAAAAAGACCTGTATGCTGAAAATTATAAGACATTGATGAAAGAAATCAATGATGACATAAACAGATGGGAAGATATAGCATGTTCTTGGGTTGAAAGAATCAATATTGTGAAAATGACTATACTACCCAAAGCAATCTACAGATTCAATGCAATCCCTATCAAATTATCAATGGCATTTTCCACAGAACTAGAATACAATTTTACCATTTGTGTGGAAACACAGAGACTCCAAATACCTAAAGCAATTTTGAGAAAGAAAAATTGAACTGGAGGAATCAGGTTCCATGACTTTAGGCTAGCCTACAAAACTACAGTCATCAAGATACTATGGCATAAAAATAGAACTGTACCTCAATGAACAAGATAGAATGCTCAGAGATAAACCCGCATACCTATGGACAGCT